CTTTTAGTTTTATTATCATTATCTGGAGATTTTCGACAAACGCTGCCGTTTATTTCAAAATCAACCCCAGTTGATGAAATAAACGCATGTTTGAAGCGATTAACGTTCTGGGATCGTACTGACAAATTATCATTAACAGAAAATATGCGAGCAAAAATTACTAGAGATCCGGAAGCACAAGAGTTAGCTGAAAATCTGTTAAAAATTGAAAATGCCACCTATCCTATACATTCACAGCCAGTCAAACTTATTCTCTCAGAAGAATTGTGTACCGTAGTAGATACAGAAGAAGAACTTATTGAAAAAGCTTATCCGTCTATTGAACAGAATTATCTAAATAGGACATGGTTGTGTGAGTGAGCAATTTTAGCTACAAAAATGATATAGTACACCAAATTAATAAAAGGATACCGAATATGATACCAGGAGATGAAAAACTGTATAAATCTATAGACACAATGATGAATTAAGATGAAAGTGTGAACTTTCCAACAGAATTTTTAAACTCACTGAATCCTGGAATGCCTCCGCATGTAATGAAGTTAAAAGTTGGATGACCAGTCATATTATTACAAAATGTTAATTCGCCAAACTTATATAATGGTGCAAGATTATGTATAAAACAGCTTCTCAACAACATTATTGAGGCAGTAATTCTAACTGGCAAAGATAAAAGAAAATTCGTTTTTATACCAAGAATTCCATGAATTTCAAATGATTTACCATTCTCTTTCAAATGGTTCTAGTTGCCTCTGTGATTGTCTTATATTATAACTATCAATAAGGCACAGGGTCAAACGTTCCAAAATTGTGGAGTGAAATTAGGAGAATCCTGTTTTTCACACGGTCAACTCTATGTAGCTTTTTCGCGCATTGGAGAGAAATAAAATTATTCATGTGTGCACCAGAATAAAAGACGGTACATATAGTGTATAAGAATGTATTGTAATATAAGTATTCAGTACATGACTATCTGTAAAGTATTTTTGTATACTGAATAAAAAAAATGTAAGTAGGAAAAAATATTTAAAAATTTATCAAGAAAAGTCATGTGTTCTTAATTTAAAAAAATATAACTAATTTAATAAAATAGTGAAGCGGGTTTTTACAGCTAGTTTAAAATTGATAAGCAACTAGGTGTGAATACGACAAGGCTTGTTCAAATACTTTTGAATTTCATGGCAATTTCCATAACCACTATTTTTAATACAAGCGTCGAATCTAGTGTGTTTCCTAATCTAATGAAACATAGTAAAGCTTTGCTTTTTTTAAAAAGTTTTTCACCTTTATTTAAATCTTGTAATACGTTTTAACCCACCAACTTTTAACCAATTGCTGTACTACCACCATTTAGTTAATATTTTAAAATAATAATTTTATATTAGATGTTAAGTTTCTTTTAATATAATTAAATTGCTTCATAAAAAATCAATTTGGTTTTATAAGGGGTTGCGCGATAAACAACGCCGGAGATGAGCTTGTTGAACATATTTTTTGTACATGGGAGAATTCAGAGGATCCTTTGGGTATATTTGTGACCTTACCAAGGCCTTCGACTGTGTTCACAATGGGACATTAATCAGGAGGCTACAGTAATATGGTGTCAAGAACACAGCGCTTAAACTTATTATATCATATTTAAATAATAGAACGTAGAAAGTTATTATATATAGTAAAAGTTTTTCGGGTCAATCGTACAAGTGGATGTCCCTCAAGGCTTAATTCTCAGCCCATTCCTATTTCTAGTCTATGTTCCTATTTCTAGTTTATATATTAATTACTTAGCTTCCCTGTAGGGAATGTACATGATATAGTATTATTTGCTGATGATGGTTCCTTGATTTTTAAACTTAAACGTCAATCATTTAAATGTGACAAAGTGAAATACTATATAAAATTTATGGCAATCGTTGAACGTTAATAATCTACATGTAAACTGCAATAAAACTAAATAAAATAAATTTACAACACCGAATTTTAAAATTCAAATAATATACAATAATCCAATATATAAAGAATACCAATGTGTTTTTAAACGGCGAAGAAGTTTAAAAACACATTGGTACACACCTTCTTAAATCCACTGCTTTGCTTGGTATCACTGTCGACGCAAAGCTTCATTAGGGTCCCCATATATAAAGCATATATAGGGCATACCAATCAGACTAAGCTCTGCAGCTTTTGTAACTTTTATAACCTCTCATGTTGTATAATTCACTTGAAAAAAAGAACCTTTTGCTGGGTTTCTTGCTAGTTTTTCCCATGACAGAGGGTTTTTTCCGAACCACTGCAGTGATAAAGTAAAAAATTACTCAATTAGAATTACATGTAATTTATATTGAATAAAACATGGTTCTATTCTATTCTAATCATTGGTTACAGCGAGGAAAACCCTTCTTTATATCTGGAAACATTTTAGAAGAAAGTATGAAGAAAGGAATAATACTTGATCAAGATCTTTTCGATATTACAAATGCAGCTTTAGAAGGCACTGGTCTTATGTTAAGAGAATTAGGAGATCCTTCACGTTTATTAATTGCCATGAATGTGTTGAGTTCCGTCTGTAAATCTGTCGAATCTGATAAGCGAGAAATTGACTTCTGGAGGATACTTGATGAGGTTTTCATACGTTAATAATAAAATAGGTTAAGACATTGTAAATATGACAATTACAGCGTGCTACTTCTTGAAGTGTAACAGTATTGTAATTTTTCTACGATAATGCTTTAAGAAATCTTCAGTTTATCCACAGTACTCTCCCAATTTAAAATATTGCTTATGTTCCACGAAAACATTTTTAGCAAACATTACCTTATAGCTATTGCTTTGGTTGCTGAAACTTGCCCAGAACTCGTTTAATGAATGTAGATTTTTTTAAATTCCAAGTTTAGTAAAGATCGACCCGCTCCCGTTTATAATGGGTGGGATACAGGTACTAATATAAATTTTTAAAATAACCATCAGTAACCATTTATTTAATCATTTTTTCCATATAAAAAAAATCAAGTTTTTCAGATGGTATACATAGCTAATTATATAGCAATACCAGGAGTGTTCCTGGTATTAAGCTCTTTCTAATTATAAAGCTTCATCACAATCAGTTCAACCATTCCGAATATAAACCAGGATTGACAGACTGACAGACTGACTGACAAAATTTATACAAAAGGTATATTCACGACTTAATCGCATGAAAATATTCCCTTGAGCTCGATAAAAGGCAGTTATTTCGATATTACAGACTCTTCAATTTAATTTATATGTATAGATTAGAATTAAACCCAATAGGTTACCCTGTACGAAAATATCAAAAGTTCGGTACATTTAATTTTACATAAGGATAACTGACGAGCTCTCTCACCGCTTATGTCTGTAATAATTTCGTTCCAGGATTTTATCACTCTTTTCTTATCCTCACTTCTCTTTATAAGATGCGGAGGTGTTTCTAATGTACTATTTTACGATGGTACTCTTACAGCTGGGCCCTTTCCCGATATATTTATGACCAGTACCTAGACCTATAACCAGTGTCTAGTTGTATAACATACCATTAACCTTTAAGTAGTGATGTGGTTTGGATGACTCATAAATGGTGATGTGACGTTTTATAGACCTCTACGCAATTTATGTCAATATTATGAACTTAATTATTAATTAAACATTTTTTTCTATAAAATCAAAATAAAAACCCACTTTGTAATGATATAAACTAAAATTAAACCCAATTTAAGCATTAATCAACATTTATTAGGACATTTGGCAAAAGTTACGAAAAAATCACATTCTATAAAAGACGCACTTCTTAAGTGTTATGAAATAAACAAACAGACTTATTTAAAAACAAATTCTTACTTCTTCAACTTAATTACTAAAATAATATAGGAACTACCACAGAATCAGTCTTCTAAATTCAGTCTCAGTCAGTACAGTCGCTGAAGATTATTTTGGAACAGCCTAAGCATATAGGCTTATGACATGCAACGCATTTGTACCTTGTGCGTCGCTTCAGCCTTGCTGGACACACCTTACAAGTCTTTTTGTCATTTTCACCAACAGCTGACTCAATGCGGCTAGGTTCTGGCGGTAAATCTTCGCCAAGAATCCGTTTCATTGTCAGTCTTAGCTCTCTTGGAAGACGATCATTGTAGACTCATCGTTGTAAATGTGGTAAAACTAATTCTCGGGCAAGATCCTGTAAGAATCGTCCTCTTGATATGTCTGATACGTCAGCACACTGCCTATAAAGCACAAAGGCATTCGCTCCGCTCAAGTCTAGCAATCTGAAAAAAAATGCTAAAGGCCATCTGCGAGTGCGGCGGTTACAGGAATAGTTCGAACATTTTTTATCAACTTCATCAACCCCACCCTTTGTCTTATTATACTCCATTATGATAACCGGTTTCTTGGTAACGGGATCAATTTCGGAAGTGTGATGTATGGACGAAATCAGTAAAACTGCTTTAGATTTCTTGGGAACATAAGAAACCAAGGTAAAGTCTTTTGTAAATGCAATGCTGTTTCAGGTTCTCTTGTTTTGGACGCTTGAAATTCAGGTGGAATGTGACGTTTATTTTTTTTTAGAGTTCCAACATAAGTCAAACCTCTCTGTTTTAGCTGCTCCATTAGCTCATAAGAGCTGAACCAGTTGTCAGCAGTGATGTTACGATTGGTGTTCTCAAAGTCTTTACAAAGTCGCAAAACAGACTGTGTAGGAATTGCAAACTTTTTGTCATCTTCTGGTAAACCTAAACCGTTCGATTCCTTGCCACAGTAGATATAAGCATTATAGACATAAACCGCCTTATTCCAAAACACGGACTTAATATAGTACTGGAGTTAGTAATATATTTAAACCATAAACTAAGAAAAACGTTATTACAAAACGAAGATTATCTCTGGTTCAAGGATTATCTATGGTATTAAAGTTAATCTTTCGAGACCCCTAGTTTAGCTATGGTACTAACCTTTCTATATAGTTTGTGGTACTCTATACTAACCTCAATTTCGGTACTTCTTAATTTGAGGTGCGCGTTGTTTTCATTTGGTGTTATTAAAATCGTTAAAAATGGATATTAACATGATTGACTTGATGGATTTAGATGCTGGAGACCACTCGGCGACCTGATAGACATCGACATCGTGTGAATCCGTTTGAATTGAGTGACGAAGATTTTAGGTATAAGTATAGGTTCTCAAAACGTTTCATAGAAAAAATAGTGGGTATCTTACGTGAGGATTTAGTGCACGACCCTCGAGGATGCCCATTGAGTCCTGAAATTCAAGTGGTTTGTGCATTACGCAACTGGGCTCGCCATGAAGTAAGTGCTGTTTATAATCTTGGTGGGGTCAATGTACCTAACATTACGCTAGATAAAAAGCCAAATAATACATATTATTGTTTTATTCGTAGATTCAAGACGATAAAGCTGATTTACATGGTGTGTCTCAACCAGTAGTCAGTAGGACATGTAAAAAAGTAGCGGAAATTTTGTCACGGAAGTCCCGAGAATTTATTAAAATGCCTACTACTTTAAATGAACAGCAGGAAACCATTAGGAAATTTCGCAGTATTGCTAATTTTCCTACAGTAATTGGCGCAATTGACTGTACTCACATACGAGTAAAGAAAGTGAATGCTGATGGGGGTCAGTTATATATTAATAGAAAAGGATTTTCTTCAATTAATGTACAGGTAATATACAAATATTTTAAATAGCTGTGATTGTCTTTTAATAACTTTACTTTATCATAATAGAAAATAATTTGTTTGACTATCTTATGGTAATAAATATATATTAAAATAAACCAGAAAAACATAAAGTACTAATGAGCTCTTATTTTACAGGTGGTTTGTGATGCTGACCTGAAAATCATGGACATTGTTACCAGGTGGCGTGGTAGTGTACATGACTCCAGAATATTCCGAGAATGTAGACTAAAACAGAGGTTTGAGGCTGGTGCATTCTCTGGAATATTACTTGGTGACAGTGGCTATCCTTGTACTCCTTACCTATTTACACCGTTGCTGAACCCCACAACACCACAAGAAGAAAGATATAATAGGAGCCATATCCGTACCAGGAACACAGTGGAAAGATGTTTTGGTTTGTGGAAGCAACGGTTTCGTTGCCTATTAAGAGGTATGTTTGGAGATATTGAAACAGCAAAAAAAACAATTGTTGCATGTGCTGTACTACACAATATGGCCATCGACATGAGAGAAGATGTGTTTTCTGGTGAGAGAGATAGCATTGAACAATATTCATCTGAACCTATAGTACAAAGCTATATTGCACCATCAATAAGGGGAAATATTAGAAGAAGACAGTTTATTGAAACTCATTTTAAGTAGGTAAACATTTTTTTTTACATATTTATATAACTATTTATAATTAAAATTTATAATTATATTTATAAAATTGTCAAATTTTTTTCAATTGTCTAAAGCTATGTATATATAATTAATTTTATTTTGTTATTCAGAGGCCAAGTTTGGCTATAAAATTACATTAAAGATCAATAAATGTATAAGACAATTATAATAATATTTCTTTTTGATTTCAGACATAATACCCATTTATAAAGGAAAATATTTCTGCAGAGCCGTTGTCAGCTGTCAAAGAATAACGACTACATATTCACCAATATGAAATAAATTCAGGGGAGTATTGTGATAATATTTCATTTATTGAGCAAAATGCTTTTATTTAGGCTATAAATGATTGTGTTTCAGGGAAAGATGCGGGGTACAGCACATTCCACATCAACATGAAGCTATATTATATAAAGATTTAAGTGCTGTAGAGATATGTTTAGATTTTTTAATAAATATCGTCCCTCCTCTACATTCACAGCCGGATTTCCTTTCCAGAGGTGCACGGGTCCACGGGGAGTAGGACTGTATGATGACTAAGTAATTAGGTTTAGTTTTTTTTATTATAGTTTTTTACTATTGTATATTATATTTCATTGTTATTTAAATAAAATGCATATTAATTAT